CCTGCAGGCACCTCTCAGTGGGCGCTGTACTCACTCGCACCCCCTCCAAAGGGCGTGGATAGGGGGTGCCCGGCCTTGGCTGTCTGCCCTGGTCCCCCTGGAAGAGGTCAGGGGGTTACACAAGTTTGCCGCTGGCCCCGGGGGCGAGAGGGGCGAACGCGGCGTGGAAGTTTTCTGCAGAAGCTGCCCCTCGGGAGAGTAGGTGGGAGGAGGGCAGAGGGCAGAACTGGCCGAGTCGGCGGAGGGCAGGCGGGGGCGGGGTGCCGAGAACGACCGCCTTGTGGCCGTGTTTGGATGAACATGTGCTTCCCAGCCGCGTGCAGCCAAGCCGGGTTGGGCGTGCGCTCTCCTGGGACCCCTGGAAGCCTCGCTGCAGCGCTTCCCAGCCCACCGGGATGCACCTCCCCGCACTCCCCCGTCCCGATGCAGCAAGGAGGAGGAAGCTGTCGGCATCCGCCACCTCTTGCGTGCGGCCTGGCGCTGGAGGCCGGGAGAACCGGGTGCAGGTCGCACAGGGGTCCCAGGCGGGAGGTTTCCCGCCGTCTCTCTTGATAGATGTCTTGCTGTGTAGACTGGCTTGGAGAGCGGGTTGGGGGCGCAACTGACCCGGGAGATCGAGCGCGTCTCCCGGTTGACTAGGGGATGGTGCGGAGCTCTACCCGCGCGTTTCCGGAGACACCAGCAGAGGCTGGGCGAGGAAGCCAGCCTCCACGTGCTGCCCTCTCCGCCCCTCCAGCCCCGACGGCTTTCCCTCTGCCTCAGCGTGAGGCCCACGTCGCTAACATCCCCCTTGGTAGTTGTGACCAACCTCTCGGATTAAAGATCTTCTGCCCCTGGCCTCTGTCTTGTCTGGTTTACACTTCCCTTCCAGACGCTCCCTGAAAAGGCCCTGCATAAATTCTTGGGCAGTTTGGGGTTTGTAAATTGAGTCCAGATGACTGGGGGGAGGGAGACAGAGTCACCAAATAGAATAGATTACACCAGAAGAACTTCCGAGGAAAAATTACACTACGTGGAATGGGGGGGGGGGGGGAGGAGAAAGCTTGTGGAAAGCCCCCGGGGATGGGCAGCAGGTGCTGGGAGAAGGCGCTGCTTTCTCCTGACTTCTTACAGGGCCTCTGGGTCAGGAGCCTTGCACTCCTTGGGTATCTCATAATACCCAATTTGTTCCATTATAAGAGCCAGTGTGGATGAGCAAAGCTTTAAGGGTAACTCATAATTACATCAGATGACGGAGCTCACAGTTCCAACCACACACGTGCAAACTAGGGAAAGGTAGTTAATGATTGGGCTGAGAAAATTCTTCTAGAAAACAAATCCAACTTTCATCAATAATTTGGAATTCTTCCGTTTGAAAAAACGCCACCAATCCTGGGGTCATGGGAGAAGCAGCTGATTGGCTGAATCAGACCACTGACTTAAACCTTAGAGTTCCTAATGAAATCCTTGAGTTTTAATTTCCCCCCGTCCTTTTGTGGTGATGTTTTGTAAGAGTAAGAGCAGCTTTTTAAAATCATAATTCTGATTAGTCACCCCAAAACATTTACAGTTCTAAAACTGGATCCTTAAAGACATTTCTTCATGGGGCTGCCTTTATGTGGGTTGCCTGATGTAAATTTGTGGAATTAATAAGAGAAAACGAAAACCCAAAGATACATTGATTTAACATATTATCAGAAAGCGTCTTAAGCAGGGTGTTATAGTTATTAAAGAATTCCATACAAAGACATTTTGGATATAAATATTTATTTCCTAGTGGGCATGAAGTTCTATTTTTAAAAGTTGCTTAGTTGTCTTTGTGCTTAAATAAAGGTTTAAAATAAACTGATGTCTCAGGGAGAGAAAATGTAAATGATGGAAAGTAATTTTGAGTGTTGCTTAGATATTCCGTTAGGTAATTTGCATAATTACAGAAGAATAATAAAATTTATTATGGGAATTAGAATAACTATACTAATTACCTTGCTATGCCTTGCAACTACTACTTATTTTAGGATTTGTAACTTTGAGTGGGGAGTGAAAATCGTTTCATTTTCATTCTCATAACAACCTAGTTTTTCATTCATTATTCATTATTCATATACGCATTTATTCAAGTGTTTACCGAGCTCCAACTATGTGCCCTGTGTTTTTTGGCAGTAGGGATACAAGGATTGAACAAAACGGAAGACATAATTCCTGCCCTCTCAATGTGCCCAGTCTAACACAGGAAATAGCAAATTAATCAACCAAATATAACAGAATGAGATGAGGCTATACATGGGAGGGCCACCTAGCGGTCCCGCGTGGGTGGTTAGAGAGGGTAGAGAGGGTTAATACTGGAAGGAAAGGCTAATCAAATGAATTTTATTGATTATTGATTTTATTTTAGAAATAAAATCTAGACTAAGACTTAAGTATAAAGGGCATAGAAATTTCCAGACAGAGGGAACAGTAAAAGGCTCAATGGTGCAGCAGCACAGTGCATTTGAGAACTGGAAGAAATGAAATTGGTTTGGAGCATACATTCTAGAGAAGAAGTGACTGGACCTGGAGTTCAGGAGATAAAAACAAACCAGATCCTGAAGGCCTTTAAACCATGTTAACTCTCTTAGCTAAACAAATTAAAGTTAGAGAGACTCAACTTTTCTTGGTCTTGGGGTCAATGTGCAGGTAGAAGATGCTAGAGGACTTATATATTACTGAAACTCAAGACCACCTGATAGTTTCATTGACTGAAGATTGGCTAATGGATCTGTTCATTTGAAGATTCCTGTAATCCCAGTACTTTGGGAGGCGAAGGCGAGAGGATTGCCTGAGCCCAGGGGTTAGAGACCATCCTGGGCAACTTAGCAGGACCTTGTCTCTACAATAAATCAGAAAATTAGCTAGGCATGGTAGTGCGTGCCTGTGGTTCCAACTACTTGGAAGGCTGAGGCAGAAGGATTGTCTGAGCCTAGAAGGCAGAGGCTACAGTAGCCGTGATCATGCTGCTGCACTCCAGCCTGGATGACAGAGTAAGGCTCCAACTCAAAAAATAAAAAAATTTTAAAAATAAGATAGTAAAAAGAAAGAAAATATTTGATGCTAGGATGTGCCAGGAACTTTGCTAGGCTAGGCAAATCAATTTAACAATCTCTATGCTGTTGCTAGGACAAACTAGTTTACCTGTGTTTTTCTTCACTTCTACTGACTGTACTCTGGGCATGTTGATTATTTGAAGTCATTAAGTATGTATTTCCTTTGCACTCTGTGAATTACTTGAAGACTTGAAATTTAATCAAATGCAATATCGGCTGAGTACTGCTTATCTGAAATACTTGGAACTGGAAGTGTTTCAGATTTCAGATTTTTTTCAAATTGTGGAATATTTGCACATATATACTGAGATATCTTAGGGGTGAGACCCTAGTGCAAGCATTAAATTTACCTATGTGTCAAATACACTTTATACATAAGCCTGAAGGTAATTTTATACACTATTTTTAGTAACTTTGTGCATGGCACAAGTTTTGATTGCAACTCATTTCATGAGGTCAGGTGTGGAATTTTCCATTTTTGGTATAATTTTGGCACTCAAAAAGTCTTGAATTTTGGAGCATTTAGGATTTTCAAATTAGGGATGTGCAACCTGTAGTATGTGTCATGCTGGTTTAGTCACACAAGTACCTATTGTGTTGACTTGATAGTCTGAAAAGTTCACTGTGTATGAGTTAGTGACAATACTATATTGATCTCTGAATATCCAAATTTATCCCCACTACTGTGGTGAGAACTTTTTTTTTCAGTTATTTTGGGAATAAAGAACAGAAATTTTACTGTTTCTGGATCTTAGCAGCTAGTAAAGAGAAAAGTCTGTAAAGCTGTCATGACTTGAGAAGTTTTTGGCATGTGAACATAGTGTGGTGGGAATTGTTGAAATTATTGATGTATATCACATGTGTGTGTTTTTCAGCTTAGTTCACCCCTTTCAATTGGTTTAAAAGAAAACCACCAACTCAAAATAAAAGTTCCCTATTTTCAAGATCTCACAAATCCTTCTTATTATAATAAATTGAATCTATGTAGGAATGGACATCTGTAGCCTGAAGACATATAATATCTAAGAGTCTCGTGGGTACCCTAAACAAAAAGATCCCTGAAACTCCCCTGTGGCAACTTGGATACTTCTGATAAATAGAAAGTTAAATAGCTCAAAAAAACATCTAGGGAAGATTCCTGGGATGGACGTTAGCCTCTTAGATGTTCTGAATATGGTCTTTTGGTATCTATATTCTGTCATATCCCCTTTAGGTCTTTACCCTGGCATGTCTGCTTATGTTTGGACTGTGGCTGATGTCAAACTGAAAATGTGACCAGCCAGTTAGACTCATGCAGAGTGTTCATTTGTTAGCTATGAAATCATGAGTTTTATTTTCTGAGCCTTTATTAAATGTTTGTTACCATATTGTTGACTTCTGTTAGATCTGATCTGATTTTGTTAAATGTCTGAGTATTTGGATTTCTGTAACCTGTGTTAGTGACACATGGCCCAGACATACAAAATAGTAAGTGAAAACAAACTTGCTTTGAATATTTGAAAGATATTCAGATTTAACACACTAGCTAGACTATTTGCTGGTGTAAACTAAATATATAAACAAATTAACAAACTTCATAGACTATTTTAGGTTACTTAATTATAATAGTATTTGACCAAAACTATAGGATGGTTTTTACAGATTTATGGTTAAACAATAGGTCACATATATGTATATGGAGAGAGAGAGAGAGAGAGAGAGAGAGAGAGAGAGAGAGAGAGAGAGAGAGACAGAGAGAGAGGCAGAGTAAGATCTATGTAACCTCTTGCTAAGTAATTTAGTTTTGTTCTTTAATGCCAGTATACTAATGGGATCCCATTGCACACACAAATTATAGGATTCTGCATTTGGAATGTAAGATATAAAAACATAAAATTTATATTATGTTACCATATAATAGATGAGTCAGAGAAAGATAAAAAACAGTTGCTGCCCTTGAGGACTCTACCAACCACTGCTAATGTGGAAACTTGATATTTTTTGTTAAGAAAGTGTATAGTAAATGTAATATCACAGCGGGTGGGAAACCCAAATAAACAAACAAGACCAACCCAACAGACATTTTCCAAAAAACCTGGATTCATTAATTATCCATTTTATGTAGTAATGAAGTTTGACTCTTTATCAAACTGACTCTGTCAGTGACACTTTATATCTTCTCTTGTTCCTATTTCAGGGACAAAACAGAGTTAAAATGAATATAAAAGACACACCCTACCATAGCAGATTTTTTTTAAAAAATGATATCTCTTCAGGCAGCTAACTAAAAGTATCCTTATTTTACTTTACTTTTCTCAATTGCTAAAATAATCAGGTCTGTAAGGAAGAAGTGAATTCCTCAGTCATTGGGAGATGGTGTTTTGCTTGATTCCTTTCTTTTAAAAAAGGTATTTATCACCAATTTTATGTAAGACATGGGTACATGAGATATAAAGGTAAAGACCTGCTGCTTGCTCAGATATTTACTTCCGTAAAGATAGGACATATAAGGGCTAAAATAAAGTTATAATTAACACATCAAGAGTACAGAGTTAAGGGAAAGATTCATTCCTCTTTCAGGATGATGGGAAACTTCATGGACCTAGGGTTGTTTGAACTAGGCTTTGGGTACCCTTAAGAATGACAGATGGAGACTCGAAAGACATTTCAGACATATACAAGGTCCTCCCGGGGAATGGAGAATAACTTGGTATGACTGGAGCTTTGAAGGCATCAGGTACAGTGGGATTCATATTGCTGAAAAAGGAAGTTGAAGGTGAAAAATAAGGGCCTTCAATGCTTTGTAAGGATCTTGAATTTTCCTTTTTTTCCCTTAGTTGACTATTAGAGTTTTGGTCATAATTTTTAAAAAGAGAAAGAAAAATCTCTATTTCAGTCATTGATTTCTACCACTCTTATTAGTCATCAGCTTTAGCACATAGGCACATTTATGTAAGGGATGGCTCAACTAATTTGTTATAATCCCCTAGGATCACCTGCCTGAAGGATTATTTTGATGTATTCAAGTTTTCCTGCCTTACACCAGGAATGGACTTGTTAACAAGTCTAGAAAAAACTTCGCCGTTTTTCTCCTCTGAGGTCATTGGGGGAAGCCTATGAGTTTGCTGAGTTGCTAAATGAATAGTGCTGGTTGTGTACTCTTCATTAGGTAGCTTCATCCTGAATGGAAAATATCTGTTGGGTTGTTTCTAAGCATCCAAGTGTACCTGATTGCCTTGGGCAGGTGAGACGTGCTCCCATTCATATTCAGCTGTCTACTAAGACAGCATCATTCAGATGCACTATCCTTCAATGACTGTAATCCTGAGCAATTTTTCCAGTCTCGTTGACATGTATCCTGCCAGTTATGTGTCAAAATATGAATCTGAGAGGGAAACAGCCTCCTTACTCAAACTCTAGATCACATTGGAATTCATCTGGAGAGCCCAGAAATTATTTTAATCTCACACAATGGTTCTCAACCTTGTTTGCACATCAGAATCACTGAGAAGTGTTTTAGAATGCCTATACCATGGCTTGTTTAAATCAGAATCACCGTGGGGGACCCAATTATTAATAGTTTTTAAAATTAGATATATGTGATTAAAGGAAAAATATCTATTTAAACATATTTTAATAAGACTAAGTATAAGCAGTGAATGTTCTAAATTTTTTTTCTGAGTTTGGTACACACACAGTCTGTATTAGAATCACCTAGTTAAAATGCATACATACTGGAGACATATCCCCAATTTTTTAATCAAAATCTCTGTGGCAGGAACCAGGATCTGCCTCATTTTTACAAGCATCTCAGTTGATTCTAACATTTGAGAACCATTGATCTGAATAGATAGCACCATATATGAGAAAGTCTCATAGGCTTCATTAAAATATATGGTTCAGCCACTTACCTATATCAGTTGAAATTTCTGTAATGATTCAGTTGATTTGTTGAGTTAGTGAAAGTTGTTAAGTATTCTTGTTTTAAAAATATTTTATTTTAAAGATGTGGGTTACAATTCAGGATTGGGTATATAAGTGGACATTGTATAGGTAATGTTTGGGTCTCCCTTTGGTCCCCGCTTTGCCTGGTTTGAGATGAGGTACCCTTATTGATGTTGTGTTCCCCTCACCCTGGCAATATCCCATTACTGCCAATCCCTTTCTTATAGTAATATGGTAAATGTTCAGGGACTGCTTATGAGTGAGAACATGTGGTACTCTGTTCTTTGTTTCTATGATAGATCACTGAGTATTATAGACTCTAAATCCATCCAAGTTGCTGTGAAGTCCATATGTTTGTCAAAGCCTTGTCTTATTAGAGCTGTGCTCTGGACTATGACCATAGAATGTACATTATTTTCAATTACTGACAAACGGTAAATACTATTTTAATACAAATGAAATTTGTTCCATTATAAATAGTATAATTATAATATATATAATTTTATAATTATAATTGTTGGCTTGAACTTTGTGAAAACATTATCTTTCTTACATTAAGATGCTCCTTATACTAGTTGATAAAGGCAAAAACATCTTTTTAGTAATAATAGAAAATGTACCAATTATTATTAGTCCATCAGTAACTTAATACACAGAATATATGATTTCCAGGAGGCCCTGTAATCACTCCTTGCAGAACTGCATTTTATAAGATGTCACTTGAGGAGTCCCTGGGTTAGAATCAAAACATAATCAAGGTCAACCTTAGCAAGAATCTGTTAATGAAGTATTGTTTTCAGCATGCTTATCATCTGTTTTCAAAATTATTTCTATGATTTTCATTTGGAAGTAGAAATAGACAATTATGAAAAATGCTCAACAAAATCTATCAAAAGTTGATTATACTAAAAATGTCACAGAACATTTTTGCTTAGATAGCTAATGAGCATGAATGAACTTTTTAATGTGTGGTGATTGGATATTCTGCTCACAACTACTATTAATCAAAATGCCCAATGATGATGTCTACAGGCCATTGCTGTTTTTGAGACCAAGGACTCATGAATCTAGTACAAGTGATTTGAATATGTTTTAAATATGATACAAGTGACTAAATCTGATATTCAAATGGCTATTCTATTCATGTCACATGGTTATAACCATTCATTTAAAAACATAAATAGCTGGTTACATTAATTTTTAATCACTAAAGTTACATGATTGCAATTTGTGTTATTTTGTGGAAATTTCTATTACTTTGTATGAAATTGCATGTATGGTAATTTGACATAATATGTAAGATTCTCACCTATACTAATTCACATTTACCAAGTGCTTCCTCTGTGCCAGGTACTGTTTTGTGTGCTTTACATAAACTTTTTAAGTAAAATCTTCAAAAAACCTTATAAGATAGCTTTAACAGATGAAGCAACGACGGCATAGAGTTATTAAAAACTGTGCCCAAGTTCCATAATAAGTGACAAACTGGAACCTTAATTCAGAGACTTTGCTCTTAATTGTTGTGAATGTTAAAATACTGTGTTAATTAAAATGATATTTTAATTTTCAGTCTTGCATTAGACTTTATTTTTTATGATTGTCAACATCCAACGAACATGTTTTTCTCAAATGCTTTTTTCTTTTCTTAGGAAACCACTTCTTCATTTTATTGTGCTATGTATGGCTGGAGTTATTGTACATGCACAAGAACAAGGTAAGAATATTACCTTGGTATTTATTTGCTTATATAAAAGTTCTGCTTCCAGGGAGCAAAAGTACATGACTTTTAAGTCATCATAAACTTAAATTAAACATGGAACAATAAAAAAATTCTACCCAGTACAATGAGAATATAAGGGTAAAGAAACCAATTTGGGGGGGAAACATGACCTTTAAGAAATTACTCAAATCTTCCGTCTGTGGAATTGCTTACATTTTTAAGCAAACTCTCTATAAAAGGGAAGTTTTGTACAGCAGAAAGACTTTGCTTGTGACTTCATTTTAAGTGGGAGTTCTTGGGGGTGGCAAACTGTGACTGAATTACCTTTGCACTTCTTGAAACAACACAAGCATATAATAAATGTTCCGTCTAGATTTACGTCATTAAGAAACAAAATACAATTTGCATACTAGTGGGCTTGGGATTTTATTTAATTCAAATGGAGGAGTTTAGAAAAATAGTTCAGTGTTTTGTTTTTGCCGACTACTTATTCTGGTAGTATGATGATAGAGTTTCAGAAGTCTTTGTATACTGTAATTTATTCATTTATTAAACAACATTTTAAAAGTAGCTTCTCTTTCCCACATAATATCTTAATTGTTAGTGATTAAGATATAAATAAGATAATGTCTCTAGCCTCAAAGTGAAAAAAATGCCTTTGTCAAAGGTAAAAACATATCAAAGTCAAAGAGAAAAGGTCCTGGAACTGTTCTTGAACCTACAGACTATCATCATGGCCCCATTAATTTTATCTTCTGTTATATATGTAGCAGAACTGTATGGGGCTGCCAAATTATTCATTCTGATGGAACCAACTTTTCAATTCAATTAGCCACTTGTCAGTTTGGTCAGTCGATCAAATAACAGCAGGAAAAAGACAAATCAACAAGTTATGAATGAAATATGTGCAGAGTAGAGAAGAGGATACAAAAGAAGGGATGGTACTTTGTCGGACTGGCCAAACTGATAAGTGAATATAGATAAGTATTCTGTCAAATATCACATAGATGGATCAAAATATTTCATGGAAGACATTTTCTAATTCTCTTTTATGGGAAATGTCTAAATTAGGCCATATGTCATATGCAACTTCATGCAAAACTATATGTTTGCTTGAAGTAGCCATGAAGAGGAGATAAGTGGTATTTCTTATTGTTATTATTACTGTTACTGTTTCTGAGAACACATTGTGTACCAGTCACTGTGCTAATAGAATACACATCTTCCTTATCACTGCCTCATCACAGGGCTTTTATAATTATGCCATGATAGAATTGTTGAAAAACTGAGATTAAAGAGAGTAGGTAACTACCCCGAGGGTTACAGCCTAATGAATGGAGGAACCAAGATTTGAACTCTGGTATTTCGACTGCAAAGTCTACAAATTCCCTAAAGTCAAGGCTCTTAGAGCCACAGAGAAGATAAGAAGACGAATAACAATCATTAATTAAGCTTATATTTTGTGCCATGTCCTTCACTGGTGCTTTACATTTACCATTCTCATCTTCATAATGAACCTGCAGAGTAGGTCATGTAGGTAAACTGAGGCTCAAAGAAGCCGCTCGCCCAGGCTCACACAGCTAAGACTTAAATGAAGGGCTATGTATCCCCTTGCTTTACAAGTGCCAACCACTGGCATGATGAGTCTAATAATTTACCAAATATATCGTTATGAAAATATTAGAAACCTATGCAAGGAGAGATATAGGAAAAATTAAATATTTATAAACAGATTTTTAAAAATCTAGATCAATGAAGGGACTAAATGAAAGAAACAACCTTCTTTCAACCTTACAATCTCATTTATAAAATACAAAAGGTTTTCTTTCATTTCATGGCAAACAATAACTTTCAGTGTTTTTATAAGCATAATATTTTATTGCCAGTTCTTAACAAAAAGAAAAATCCTTTAGAAAAGCTTTCAGACTTCAGAAAATTAGATATTTTTGAGCACAGAAAAGAAATGGAAATAATGTTATCGGAAATTTAGAAACACTTTTTTCCTAAAATATATTCTTTAAATTAAATTGTCATGATGCAATATGTATTATACTATCTCATCAGGAGACTGGAAAAACATTATTGGAGAAATTGTGTTTTTATATGATCACAAATATAATTTACAGCCTTAATATTGTTGACTAGGTCTATTTGACCTAGGAATTATCCCGTTAGACTTCTCTGAAATATTTATGTGTTTACGAGATTTTTAAAAACTTTAAAAAATGCAAAGTAATACATGTACTGTACATGGTTTAAAAATTAATATTCATATTTTGCCTTATTAGGGCTGTGTACATTTTTTGCCATTGAGTCCTGTACATTTATATATTTTTTTCTATAAATATGACAAGATTGCCTCCATTGTTTGTTTTATGTTCTGTGTCACTATCAACAAACCCTCCCAGATACTCCAAAATAATTCTCAAACTTCTTGAAAAATATTTTCTCCCAAAACATGCTACACTGCTCCAACAGTTTGACTATTTTTTTCCTTGGAGCTTTTCCTTCTAGAAGCGAAATTCTTCTGCTCTACTGTGGACTAGTAGTTCTCTAAGCTTCCTGAAAAGTTGATGGTTCTCATTTGTGTTAGGCCAGTTTCTTGGAACTCGTACTTTCTTCTCCATAGTCTGTTTCCTTGTTTGGGTGGAGCATACATATCCTCTAGTTGCACCCTGAGAATATGTACTCAGGTGGTACATTTTTTAAAACATTGCATTTTTGAGAATGTGTTTATTTTATCCTTATACTTATGGGCTGTTTAGAGAGTTTAGGAATTTAGGCTGTAAATATTTTTCCCTCCGAATTTAAGACTTTCATCTTTTACTTTTTTTTTCTTTTGATCAGGCTTTCAGACTTGTTAAATCTGATGTTATGCTAATTCGTGATCCTTACCATGTCACCTTTTTATTTCCCCTTTAAGTCCTTAAGATTATCTGTTTATCTTTGCTGTTTTGAAATTTCATAACAATCTGCATTGGTAGAGGTCTTTTTTTCCCAATTCATTGTACCCGGCACTCAGTAGGCCTTTTGGATGTGGAAACTTATCCCTCATTTTCTGGGAATTTTCCTGTGTTCTTTTTTTCTTTCTAACCTATTTATTTCCTCCTTCTGTGTTTTCTTTTAAACATTGACTCTTAAGTATTGAGCTCCTTCTTTTCTTATGTTTAGGTCCTAATTTTCATCTTTGTTTTGTGTTCCAATTTGTGGGATTTTCATCCGCTGCTATTCCAAACATTTTGTTTAGTTTTGTATTTCATTTAAAAGTTTTCTCACTCAGAGTGTTCTTTTAAAAAAAATAGTATCCTGTCTTGTTTCTTTGATGCAATATGGGTTCTTTTCTCTGTAAGTATAAAAATGGTAATTTTTGTAACATTTCCTCTCCTCCTTTGTTTCTTCCAAATTTTTTGTTTTGGTCTGTCTTTTATGTTGGAGAAGATTTTTCAATCAGTCTGCAGTACCTCTGTTATCCTTTAAAAGTAATACACTGAAAATACAGCTAGGAAACTGTTTGCATGGATAGGCTTGTCAACTGAGATGTTTCACATAGAGGGTGATTAAGCAGGACCTGGCTGACTGTCTTGTTGGCCACAAATGTCTAAGGCTGCAGTTTCTTTGGCGAAGAAGCCTCCAATATCTTAATTGTAGAACATGATCTGGTTGTTACCGTTATTGGAGTTAAGTGACATAAAAACATTCTTGAGGTGGGGCTTGTCTCACAATTTAGTATGGAGATTTTAGCTGAATTCCTTGTTCTCAATGTAGGCCTTCCCTTCCATTTTCCTCTGTGGGTGATTTAATGTTTCCACATAATTAGCCTTTGATCTCCTTTGGTCTCTAAGCTTCCTACATAAACTTTCAACCCCTCACCCCCACAAGTGCCCACACCTCAATGTGAAGCCCCTTCCTCACCCCTGAATTCAGTAGTTTGGTGCCTGCAATTCTTGAGCCTTTTCAGGATTTTGTGACGTGAGTTGGCCTGCCTGTCATTAACATCTACCTCTGCAAGCCCTTAGTGTTTTCTCAGCTCTGGTAATTCCGTCACGTGCTTTCCATTTTCCAAAAATGTGTTGGTATCTTTTGCCTATTGTTGTCTCCTCTACTCATTCACTTTGTCCTTGTAGTTTCAAACCACATTTTCTTATTCTCATGTTAGTGAGATTTTAAGACTAGGAAATGAGCTTCTATGCGATTTGACATGGTTATAATAGTTATTCCTTTAAGTTTTAACACTAAGGAACTATTTTAAGTTCCCTAAGAGATACAAATTTTATATTTGCTTTATGACCAAGTTTTAGGTATAATCTAATGAATAAATGACTCTATTTCAAGAAAAAACAATGGCATAAGACTGGGTTTCTGAGGATTTGACAGATAGATGTAGATAGCTTTTCTGGAAACCTGATACAGTCTATTTTCCTTATAACTTTGTGTTGGTGGGTGGGCTGACTGCCAGCAAGATCTGCAACACTTCTCCCTAATGACTTACACCATGCAGAACGTGTAGCTAACTCTCAACATGCGCATTGTTCTCAGGCTCATGATCCCTAGGTGTGAAAACCACATGTTTAGAAATCAATGTGTAGAATATCCATCTCTCAGAAGAGTATTTCCTATAGAAAAGAATCCACAATGTGTTTATTGTTAACAGAGAAGCAGCTCGTTCTAGCTGCAGGAACTCCAAGTACTTTCTGCCAAAAATTTGATACATAGCTTAGGGTTCCATTTTGCACTTTTTTAAGATTAGAAAATATAGTTTATTTAGAAAGTAGAATAGAGAGCGGGAGTAAGAGGAGATTCACCTCCTCAAGATCAGGGAGGGGGCCAAAGCCAGGAAGCACAACAGCCATAGCTCAAAGAGCACATGGCCACACCAGAGTCTGACAAGGCAATGGCGGCAATGGTCTGGCAATGGCCTCCATTTGGCATTTCATAAATAAATTGTATTTATTTAAAAAGATACAACATAAATGTGCTGTTAAGTGAAGAATACT